TTTTTAAAATGAAAATGTTACTATTTTTTTCTTTCTTTTTTCAGTTAAAATGCGTTATATATTTTTATAAGCTCTTATAGATTTCAGTTTCCGTAATTTTAATTGCTTCAATAAATGCGTTCATAATGCTTTTTTTTTTTGGGGTTATTTTATGGATTTGGTTGATTCCTCGAATAATAATCAGTGTAATGATATGTGTATGAACGAAGGAAAGGAGCTTCTTGACTTTTTGAGTTTTGACTTTTTCCGTTCTTGGTTGTACACATTGTACTATTAAAATTTGACTGGTTTTTGCATTCGGTTTAATTTGGTTTAGTTTACACTATAATGTGGTTTGAATTTACAAGATAATTTTTCTATACTTTGGCTTAGATTTCTAATAAAAATGTAAATTCATTTTCGAGGATTTTAGAGTGTTATTTAATTTATGGTTAATTAATCCAAATTTGTTTGGAGAGAGAGACTCTACGTCGATATACATAAAAAAAACTCTTCAACCAAAAATCGAACTAGGGACAAACTATTAATAGGAAACTAACGTTTGCCACTAACCAAACACTTAATTGATTAAAAATATATAATTCTTAACAAATTTTATTCGAATCCACAAAACTTCAATGGTTGGTTCAGCTTGCACTGACAAATTATAGGTAATGACGACCAAAAACAAAGTAGTGACAGACAAGTAGTTGAAATGTCAATTGTTCGATTCTCATCGATCATACATAATTTTCACATTTTTTAAACGGTAATCTACTGAGAATTTATTGTCACATTTGTTACAAGTTCGCATATTCTTTTAAAATTTTATAGTAAAAGAATAAGTTGATGGTCTCATACATCAAGCCCACTACTACTACTCAACCATCAATAATAGTTATTTGACTTGTTTCACTTGTTTTCCTACTAAATTAATTTTCTAAACGACTTCACTTTCCTTTCTAAAATTGTTAAACATAAATAATAATAAACAAGGAATATGTTCTTACACACAGACAATTTTTTTCTAGAAACAAGGAATATGGTCTGAACTCTTAAGCAAGGTTGGTTAGAGAGTCCTTAGAAATGCCATGAATTAGAGTAAGACTAGTGCCACGGTATTAATATTGCAATGCGAAAATATATATGTCGATTCCGGAATCAAAGCTTTTAGTTTTATTAAATTTTAAGCTGATC